GCACACTCACCGGACCTGTGCTAGGACTGGGTCTCTGGGGACACTTTTTTAAAAAAGAATACAAAATCTTTTAAAAAATTAAAAGCAATAGATTCTTTACAAAATTTCATTATACAAATAATAGGAATTCAACATTGGTTACTGTATTACATGATGCTATCCTCAAAATAGTTTTTTAGGTTACCAGATATATACCTGCAAAATTGGTTTTAAAATGACCAAAATAACAACAAAAAAGTTATAAGAAATTAAAAATTAAAAATAAGAAAAGAAGAAAGAAGGGGGACACTTTCAGGTGGGCCAAAGGGTTTGTAGGTGCTACCTTCTCTTTGTGTCTCTTAAGCCACCTTGGCTCCCAACACTAATGAAGTATTTTGGGTTTTGAGGTGTTGAGTAATGAAAATTGCCTCTCTCTATCACCAACTGCATGTCTTTTCAATAGTGAATAACATTTTAATATTTGACATGAACTGTCAGATATTAAATATTAAATAAAGCCACAGCAAGAGACTCTACCCTTTGAAATTCACACTAGCATATCGTAGTGCTCTTGGTTATAATAGTATAAAGAAATCCAAGTCATTTGATACAGAGGAAGTATTATATAGAACACATTAGCATTTAGATGGACACTAGTATTTTATTGACAAACTAATATTAAACTAATACTTTGGCTGTTAAACTAGAGTCTCATAGACATACTAGTTTGCTCTGTAATTATTCTTATAAAACTTAGAAGTATATGTGAAATGTAATCGTAAGTCTTAGTCAAATTTTTCTTACTTAGGAAGTGTATCTGGGGTGGGGAGGTTGTGGGAAGGGGATTGGAGGGCAGTCAGAATGACCAAGAGAAGATCTGTCCCCAAGACAAACGCAACTGTTCTATACACAACCATATACCAACAAAAGAGAAACTAAAAAGTAAAAAGTAAGATAACTGTCCTTGGGCCGGCCAGGTAGCTCAGCGGACTAAAGCACCTGCTTAGGTAGAGCGCAGCGGCCAGGCTTCAGTCCTCTGTGTGCCATGCCAGCCCCGCCCCCAGGGCACGCTGAGAAAGTGATTGAGACTGGGTGTGGGTGACACAAG